GCAGTTTGAGTAAAAAAAACTGGAAGAAAAAGCTGTAGCTTTTCTCAACTTGATGAGTAAAGGGTAATATTTCTGTTCAGATTATTATCTCCCAAAAATGAACATTTTATCATGATATCATATTTATTTTGTGTCAATAATGTGAAAGCAGTTATGCAAATAGTAGCCTATGCTATGCTTTAACTTGTAGTTTAAAGGTAGCCTACACCATGTAGGCTAACTTTTTTCTTACCCTCATTAACTGTGGTAAGCCTATTATAAGTGTTTATAATTTAGACCTACTGGGATGGTGTACCATCAGATCCGTAAATAAAGAAAAGTTGCTCCGGGCTACTTGGACGTGTGTATGGTGTGAGTGGCATAGAAACTATGTAGCAGTATATTAACATTAAGTGGGATAGCATCTTACGCACAGAAGCCATTGTCAAATGCTGCTGTGCTTAGTGGCACGTCTGGATTTTATTGTCTTGTGCCAGTGGATTGTCGCATGTGCCACTAAAACTTGTGACGTGCTGATGGATTGTGTCCTCCTCCAGTAGTGACTGGCAGATGAGTTATACTGATCTAATTGTGATACTAAATCCTAAACAAATAGCCAAATTTAGTGATTTAAAAAAAAAAAAAAAAAAAAAAAAATTAAATGTAGCCTACTATGTAAATGTAAATATATTATAAATATACACTCACCGGCCACTTTATTAGGTACACCTGTCCAACTGCTCGTTAACACTTAATTTCTAAGCAGCCAATCACATGGCGGCAACTACGTGCATTTAGGCATGTAGACATGGTCAAGACAATCTCCTGCAGTTCAAACCGAGCATCAGTATGGGGAAGAAAGGTGATTTGAGTGACTTTGAACGTGGCATGATTGTTGGTGCCAGAAGGGCTGGTCTGAGTATTTCAGAAACTGCTAATCTACTGGGATTTTCACGCACAACCATCTCTAGGGTTTACAGAGAATGGTCCGAAAAAGAAAAAACATCCAGTGAGCGGCAGTTCTGTGGGCGGAAATGCCTTGTTGATGCCAGAGGTCAGAGGAGAATGGCCAGACTGGTTCGAGCTGATAGAAGGGCAACAGTGACTGAAATAACCACTCGTTACAACCGAGGTATGCAGCAAAGCATTTGTGAAGCCACAACACGCACAACCTTGAGGCGGATGGGCTACAACAGCAGAAGACTCCACCGGGTACCACTCATCTCCACTACAAATAGGAAAAAGAGGCTACAATTTGCAAGAGCTCACCAAAATTGAACAGTTGAAGACTGGAAAAATGTTGCCTGGTCTGATGAGTCTCGATTTCTGTTGAGACATTCAGATGTTAGAGTCAGAATTTGGCGTAAACAGAATGAGAACATGGAACCATCATGCCTTGTTACCACTGTGCAGGCTGGTGGTGGTGGTGTAAAGGTGTAGGGGGATGTTTTCCTGGCACACTTTAGGCCCCTTAGTGCCAATTGGGCATCGTTTAAATGCCACGGCCTACCTGAGCATTGTTTCTGACCATGTCCATCCCTTTATGGCCACCATGTACCCATCCTCTGATGGCTACTTCCACCATGTCACAAAGCTCTAATCATTTCAAATTGGTTTCTTGAACATGACAATGAGTTCACTGTACTAAAATGGCCTCCACAGTCACCAGATCTCAACCCAATAGAGCATCTTTGGGATGTGGTGGAACGGGAGATTCGCATCATGGATGTGCAGCCGACAAATCTGCGGCAACTGTGTGATGCCATCATGTCAATATGGACCAAACTCCCTGAGGAATGCTTCCAGCACCTTGTTGAATCTATGCCACGAAGAATTGAGGCAGTTCTGAAGGCAAAAGGGGGTCCAACCCGTTACTAGCATGGGGTACCTAATAAAGTGGCCGGTGAGTGTATATATATATATATATATATATATATATATATATATATATATATATATATATATATATATATATAAACAAGCAACATATTATTAATTAAATGTCGTACGGCCGTTAAGTGCGCATGTTACACAATCTACATAATGCAAACAGCGGCATGTGTCATAGGTTATTGGGAGGTGCCACGACATATGGCGACATGCTCTGTAACAATGTCAGTGGCACATGACGCAATGTCTACTAACAGTGTTCATTGTAATGTATTATCTATTCTATTGTAAAGGGTTATTTCATTATGGGTTGTGCCAGTAGTGCTGTACTGGAATTTATTTTCAAAGAAGTACTGTGCCTCAGTGGTATAGCTCCCCACCCCACCTCTGACTAACAAATATTTTCACAAAAAATTATAAAACACCTACAATTTCACTTTGCAATGCCATTGAAACTGTCACGATCCCTGTATCATGGTTCCTTGTTGTGGACTCTTATTTTGAAATACATTTTCTGTTCTACTTATATCATTACTTCCCCTTTCTTGTTTAGTTCCTGTTAACCTTTGTCTTGTTTGTTACCATAGTGATTCATTCCATTGATTCAGGTGTGCCTTGTTAACCACTTGTTATCCTGTGTATATATTCCCCAATGTTTCAGTCTTGGTTTGTCAGTTGTTGTCTTTGCATGTTGTGTGAAGCTGTTGATTCCGTGCTCTTTTAATTGTGTTTCATGTTCCTGGTTTTGACCCTCTATTTGGATTCTCTTTGTTTTTGGTTTCAATAAATACTGCTGCAACTGTATTCTCATCTCTCTTTGTCCCTGCTGCCTACACGTAACAGACACATTGAAAAATATAACAGCAAGAGAAAATAATAGATCAGAACAGAACTTTTAATTTAAATAAACAACAATTTTTAATATTGCAGTGATGCTTTGTATGAACAATGTAATCAGTGGCTGCAGTGAGCTGTTTTGACAGCGCCTCACGAGCTCAGCTTCTTGTACATTCTCGCAGGAACACAATAGCAGCTAGTGAAGACCAAAAAATACTAGATGTGTTTTTTATACTTTGCCCAAAAAGGTAGAGAAAAATTAAACTCAAATGCTATCATTAATCATGTTGGAAGTTGTTCAAACATCTGCATTGTCACAACTAATAAAGCACTGACTGAATCAGGGAAATTTATCCCTTTTAAAATGTATATAGAATTTAAAGTTTGAAGAGCGTGATGCATTAGGCTACTGAGTATTGGTTCGTTTAGCAAGCAAACAAAACATTAAAATACTAGAAAAAAAATGTACACCTGACTAAGAAAACTAGTCAAAAGTAAAAATACAAAACTATACACAAACATCAAGTATATTTCTTAATACAAAGAAAATATCTCAACCAGGGGCGCATCTGGTACTAACCACCAAAACTACGGGTGCTCCAGAAGTAGAACAAAATATCAAAAATTGTAGATGGATCCTGTTGTAAAAAAAGAGAGAAGAAAATCCACATGCTAGACACTAGAGAGTAAGACGTAGCGGTAACACTTTACTTGAAAGGGGTGCGCATAAGACTGACATGACACCTTCATAATCATGACATGACACATGTCATGAATATGAAGGAGGTTTTATGCATGTTTATAACAACTGTCATTAAGTGTCATTCGCTCAATTAAGACATTTTTAATGCAAATATGACATTGTTTGAGATGTCTTTGTTATGACATCTTGACATAAACCAATACATCATAACCTGTCATTGTCTTTGTCATGACAACTTGACATAAACCAATACATCATAACCTGTCATCTTTGTCATGACAACTTGACATTACTAAGACAACACAACCTGTCATAAATGGACTCATGACAGCCTATGTCAAAACCAACCACATGACAGTTTAATGTAATGTTAACCATAAAGCTAAGTGGTTTCTTAAGTTTGAAAATTAATCTGCTATGTCATGTTTATGACATATTTATGACAGGTTGTGTTGTCTCAGTAATGTCAAGTTGTCATGACAAAGACACTGCAGGTTATGATGTATTGGCTTATGTCAAGATGTCATAACAAAGATATCTGAAACAATGTCATATTTGCATTAAAAATGTCATAATTGAGTGAAAAACACTTAATGACAGATGTCATAAACATGCATAAAACCGCCTTCATATTCATGACATGTGTCATGAATATGAAGATACACCTGCAGGGGCGTGGTAGCGGGGGAAAAGGGGTACCGAAGTCGCCGCGCTCAAGTCAAAAAGTCCGTCTCCGTCCGTCTCCGTCCCGTATCTGGCTTACTTGAACAGGCACGTCACTACGCAACAAATAACGGCGCACTTGTTCATTTGCATTGAAGCAGTAGCGAAGATTAAAAAGCATTTGGTTAACAGAAAAGACATTGTTATTTTCCAAAATCCAAAATGTTTTGATGCTCTTTGTACTGCATTGATCTGTCCACTTAAAACATGTTTTTGGTGAAAAGGATGAGGATGAAAGAGGAAGGGAGGAGATGGCTGGATGACAGGATTTTGCTTGAATAAGAAATTAATGTATGAAATCCTAATTATATATATATATATATATATATATATATATATATATATATATTAAGCTGTGACGTAGTTGCATTTTTTTTCTTTTCTTTTGGCTAGTAGAAGTTCTGGCCGGTAGGCTAACCTAAAACAATTGTAGCCAAATTGGCCGATGAGTGAAAAAGTTAATTTCAAACACTGATGTGACTATACATGTTCAGGTTTTTACAGTTTTTACTCTCAAGAGATATCTAGTGGTCAGATCCTGAAATGTATGTCACAGGTGTATCTAGTCATTCTAGTGCCTGGACGTTGATTTTCTTGTTTTACAACAGGATCCACCTACCATTTTTGATATTTCTACTACATTGCAAATTATTTTCTGTCACCCTGTCATTTCTGTCACCAATAACACATACTGGTAATTGTTTTTTCTAAGCATACATATATAGACAAATTAAAGTACTACACTAAATTTATTTAATAAATGTTCCATAAAATTCTGTTTATGTCTAATAAAAACATGTATGGCCTTTTTACACTATTAAGCAGCACATTTGTTTGTTATATTTTTGCAAAAATGGACTCAGAATCTAAATGCCATTTATTCTATAAATTTAGCTCAGTGCAAGTTCTGTAAACAGAAGTTTATGATTTTCTAATGTCATTGTTCTCTCTGTACTGACTAAGAGATAACATTCAAAAGCAGGCTTAAAATTCTCGCTCTCGTTCTTGATGATTTAGGAATTTGATCAACCTTGGAGGAACTGGAAGCTTGCAAATTTTCTTCAGTCTATTGATCCCAAGCAGTTTGCGGATTTTCAGTCTGCAGAGCTGCATGAGTGGGCGTGGAGGCACTGCAATCAGAACCAGCAAATGAATACACAGGTGACTGAAATAATTTGCATATATGAATAATTTAAGCAAAAGATATGGGTGCGCATACTTGATTTCTCTTTGATGCATTGCCACTCGTGATAACTGTCCAGATGTTCAGTGAGTCGTGCACAGAGTTTCACATGCCCAACATAGTCAAGCAGCACATCTATAATCGGCCCTGCCCAGCGGGAGTAGGTTTCGGTGGAGATCACCTCACAGAACTAGTAAAACGTGTATAAAATATGGTACTATACACAATTCAGAATAAAATAACAATATACTGTATGTATTGGCTTCAGGCCACTCACCTGAACACAGGTCTTTTCTGTAGTTTCATCTACATCATATCTTACATTACGCCTAGTCTTTATAGGAGGATGAGGATTGCTGCCATAAACACAACTGAAACATGACAAGGCATCACAGCCATTATCCATCAGATACTTCAGTAAGGTCAGATACTTCAAACAGAACATAACAGCAGCTGGAAAGGTAGTTGGGTGAGTTGGGATGTAGGCATTGACATTGGCACCATGTTGCACCAGCAAAGTCACTGTCTGTATGCAACCCTGCCTCAGGGCCACCAGGAGCGGGTTGAACGTGTCCAGGTTTGGGTTAGCACCAGCCTCCAGGAGCATGGTGGTAGCATCAATGTTGTTGTTCATGACGGCGAAGTAGAGAGCTGAGCTGCGTCGATCTTCATACATCATAGAATGATCCTCAGACAATGTGGCATTGACATCAAAGCCGGCCTCGATCAGTACCTCGAGAATATCATTTCTGTTGCGCTCCGCAGCTAAATGGAGAGGGCTGATACCGGCACGTCTCACTCTGGCCTTACTTGTGGCTGGGATCAGCATGGCTACAATGCTAAAAACGAGAAGTTTTGTGTTCTTGAGTGTTGCTTTGCTAGTGTGCACCAAAATACAATTGAATGTCATGTTAGAATTTGACCACATTAGGGTGAAATGACCATTATAAAATGGGAAAATTATTTCATAAGAAGACTATTAATACATGTAAACATTTTTAAAAAGCTTGTATGTATAGTGATTAGCAATAATGAAAGTTTAGAGAACTAGTTCTAGGGTTGGGAACCGAAAAAAATGCAGAAGTGGACAACATTCGGGCTTATTAGGGGCCGTGGCGTTCACATAGTTTTTAATTCCACTGCGCTGCATTTCCATTGTTTTTTAATGTAAACATTCATGCACAAGATGGACGTGTTTGACTGTTGCGCTCCCATCTTGCATCTTTTGCAGTGTCTCGTGCATTCTAAAAACAGTGTTCGAGTTCAAGTTTAGAAATTCAGCTTAAAGTCCCCATGAAATCAAAATGGACAATTTCTATTTATTATAAGTGATTTATCCGTGCATATCTTTAATCAAAATAACTTCTGCTCCCTCTTGCAATGATGTCTCTTGTGCTTTCTGATGACGTGTCAACTGGCACGAGGATGGGACAACTCGGTCAGATCATCCAAGGCAGATGGTATTTCCAGAGCATAGCTTTCATTCTGTATACTGTCAGCCAACCCCTGCAGGAACATGTCCCACGGTGCCTCCTCATTCCAGCTGCATTGAGCAGCCAGCGTGCAAAACACAGATCACAGATTGATTACCTTGTTGCAGCTCTGCCAACACCCGTACCGCTTCCAGAGAAAGCACGGTCAAACACCTTCTTCAGCTCATCGTGGAACATGTCATCCCCATTGAGCTGCTCGACCAGTCAGCAGCGTGTTGACCAAAGCCACTTTAGATCCCTCTGATAGGAAGGCAGACGGCTGGAGAGCAAAAAACAGAGAGCACTTAGCCAGAAATGAACGACACGATTTTGGATCACCATAATAAGCATATGATGGTGGTAGTCGAGGTTCGCTGTGATAGGGGGTGAACGGGTTAGCTGCCTCGGTCTTCAGTTGCTGGAACTGGGCAGACAACTCTGCAACCTGCAAAGCCTGAACCATTCAACCCGTCGCCATGATCTGATCCTCTTGGCGTTCCATACGAGCGTTGTTGCTGTCCAAAATGTCTCTCAGCTCAAAGTACTCGCTGGATCCATCTTGGTCAAATAGGGTGTTGTTTATTCAACATAAAATAAATACAGAAAACAGAACGTAGATGGTCAGGTGTTGTAGAGCCGCGATGATGAAGTAACAGGCTTTGGCAGCGCGGATCAAACTGCAATGGGCTGGAGAATCAGACTGAGCCAAAGAGAAATCCAGGAACAGTGATGATAACTGGTAATCCAAACAAGAACACAAGAACAGGGAACGCTAGACGGCAAAAGAAACGGCAGGACGTGAGTAACAAAGATCTGACAAAGAATGAATGCAAACACAAGGGTAGATATAGGGCAGAACGAAATGAGTACCAGGTGTGGTTGGCCTGTCAGCACAATGAGTTGCCCAGCAACGCTGACAGCCATCCATGCCGACAGAAACACAAAAAACATGTCAAAAAGGAACACACAGAAACATGAACCGTGACAAGGCAGCAATAGCAAACCACAACGATCCAACGATTCAATCAATTCCTGATGGACAAAACCAAGTTCAAGAAGCTGTTTAACTCGGATACATTACAAAAGGGAAGAATAGATTATCGCAACTTCCGTTTCATGGCGACTTTAAAAACGCATGGCTCACACTAGACTCTGCAAAAGACACAAGACGGTCAAAGATGTCCGTCTAGCGCATGTTTACATAAAAAACAACAGAAAAGCAGTGCAGTGGAAATGCATAAACACATTCTGTGTGTGAATGGCTAGACGTTCACAAACATGCATTCTTTCACTGAAATACCAATATAGGTTACTTCACTACTTACTAGTTTCCTTCACTACATATTCAACGGCGCCGCACACCTCTACTGAATCTACAGGGCAAATAGGGAATAGAGTAGTCTGATTCCTATGAGTTGGTTCTTTCTAGGGAATTAAAAACATACAGTGCAGTGTAGTCCAATTCCTCATCGAATGACTCTTATTGGGGCAGTCTTGGGCTAATGGTTAGAGAATCAGACTGGTAACCCGAAGGTTGTGGGTTCGATTCTCATTAGTGACAGGAAATGACTGAGGTGCCATTGAGCAACACACCTAACCCCCAATCACTCCCCGGGTGCCACAGCAAAATGACTGCCCACTGCTCCAGGTGTGTGTCCTTGGTTTGCAGTGTGTGTGTTCACTACTCACTTACTGCTCCTGATGTGTGTGCACTAACTTGGATGGCTTAAATGCAGAGGACAAATTACCATACTTGGCCTTCAGATGTCACTTTCACTTTTGCCACTTTCACTCGCAAGAATTGTTTAACATGTATTTGTTGTGAAAATTATATAATCATTTGACAGTTGTTAAGGAATTTAACTTGTTAAGAGGAACCGGAACCCGGGATCATTCAATTCTTTACGATTCCCACCCCAAAACATCTCATGCTATCAGGAATTATGCTATGGGATGATTAGTTTAACTGTTAGGTGAGAAAAAAGACCCTACACACAATAAACTAGAAGAGTTAACAAGACATGAAGAAAGAACACTTATCTTAAATGGTATTTTGCAAATAAAACCATTTACTACTTGAGTTAGCTTGAGTTTTCAGGTGATAGGTTACAGGATTAGCACCCTCTTGCCACAGCATTGCTGTAAAGAACCCATTGAGACTTACTTAGTTTCCGTGGAATTTTTGTAGGTACACCCGAGGACTTTGCTGAAAATTAATGCAAGATCATGAGATATGCTAAACCTAAACTTTTAAGAAACAATGGCCTTCGCATACAAATAAGTTGTTTAGATAAACTGTGACCTGAGAACATTTCTCCCAAAGCAAATTCATTCATTCATACAAATTCCTTATTAAGTGAATTCTTAATTCATACCCATCATTGCCACGCTGGGCAGCAATATGGATTGGCATCAGTCCTGTTTTGCCCGGCTTGTTGGTGTCTGCATTTTGAGATAGAAGGAACTCTACAATGTCCTCATGACCATTCTTACAGGCCTCATACAGCGCTGTGGCTCCATCTGCGGCCTGGCTGTTGAGATCTGCACCTGATCGAGTTGAGATGCATTACATCACTAAGCAACAATGAAACAGAAAGGAAAATGACAGTGAAGTGAAAGATGTTACCATTTCTTAAAAGCATGCGAAGTGCATCCACTTTTCCACTTTGGGCAGCGACAAAGATAGGAGTAATTCCGTACATGTTGGGCATGTTGACTTTGGCTCCAGCTTTCACTAGTATCTCACAGATTTCCACATTGTTTCTGCAAACACTCTCATGGAGAGCGGTCCAGCCTTGAATACAGTTCTTATTCACAGAGGCGCCGTAATTCAATAACATGGCAACCATCGCTGGGTTCTCCTTCTCACAAGCTACAGATATGTATAGAAATGATACAAATTCCATCACACCACAGAAGGTCTTATTCAATGTAAAACAAACTATATTGTTGCGGATCTGGGCTGGTATGACAGGCCTTTATACCTAAATAAAATTGAATCTGAATGTAAGGAACTTGAATTAACAAGAATTCAAATAACTATCTTTTAACAAAAAAGCAACATCAAGATTTAACTAAATGTTTTGGGGAGGAAAAAACTTGAAATTTGAAGGGTCAAAGGCCATGGATGGATGGATACCTTTGTAAAGGGGAGTCTCCCTCTCCATATTGGCAATATCAGGATCAGCACCATTCTCCAGAAGACTCTTCACACATGCAAGGTGTTCCATGGTCACAGCTAACATTAAAGCAGTCTTCCAATTCAAAGTGCGCTGGTTAACCATGCCAGGTTGAGCTGTGAGAATAGTGTTCATGATAAAAAGCCAGAACAATCGATTAGTGCTTGGCTAAAAAAGGTTAAACTGAGTAATTTTCAAATGAGCACACTTTACCTCTCAGGAGAATTTTAATGCATTGATCTTGTCCACAATATGCCGCCTCGTGTAAAGGAATCCATCCATCTTTATTTGGTGTAAGAAGGTTGCAACTGGGTTGCTTAACCAATAGCCTCACTGTTCCTACATCATCGTCCAAAATGGCCTTAACAATAGGCTCAATGTCCCTAGAGAAGACACCGCTTTTATTTTGATGCATGACATGTTGCAGGTGAGATGATGTTCATTATGGCTCTTGCATATGTAAATATTAAAATGTATATAACATATCAAATGTTCCATGTGCAGCCTAATGTCAATAGTTATACAGTTTACAAGTTTGGAGTCAGTAAAAAAACAAACATTTTTATTCAGCTAGGATGTATTAAAATGATCACAAGTGAAAGTAAAGTTTTTTAATGCTTAAAACAAAAGTTCTCTATTTCTAATAAATAATGTTCTATAGAACTTTCTATTTATAAAAGAATACTGAAAAAAATTAATTAAGGTTTCCACAAAAATATTAAGCAGCACAACTGTTTTCAACACTGATAAAAATAAGAAATGTTATATCATATATAAATGTAATATATTAGAATGATTTCTGAAGGATGTGACTGGAGTAATGTCTGCTGAAAATTCAGCTGTGCCGTCACAGGAATACATCACATTTCACAATATTAGGGGTGAATTCAGGTTGATTAGGACACTTTTTCCAAGTCATCTCAATGGCAAAAAGTGTCCCACTCACCCTGAATTCCCTACTGTTTTTACTGTACGTTTGATCAAATAAATGCAGCCTCTGTGAGCATAAGAGACTTCTTTCAAAAACATAAAAAAAAATGATACTGACCCCAAACTTTTGAACGGTAGTGTACATTTTTGTACATTTGGATATACCGTTCACTGAAACATACAATTAGGATATTCTGACCACAAAAGCTAAAATGTAAAACTATTAGCTCTAGAAATGTAAAATCTTTCATGAATCCTTTATATTTAATATCATAAATATTATATATAATATGTCTTCTGCTGTTGTAGCCTATCTGCTTCAAGGTATGACATATTCAGCATACCTCAGTTGTAACGAATGTTTTATTTTATTTTATTTACTGTTGCTTTTCTATCAGGTCGAACCAGTCTGGCCATTCTCCTCTGACCTCTGGCACCAACAAGGCATTTTCGCCCACAGAACTGCCGCTCACTGGATATTTTCTCTTTTTTCGGACCATTCTCTGTAAACCCTAGAGTGAAAATCCCAGTAGATCAGCAGTTTCTGAAATACTCAGACCAGCCCATCTGGCACCAACAACCATTCCACGTTCAAAAACACCTTTCTTTCTCATTCTGATGCTCAGTTTGAACTTCAGCAGATCTTCTTGACCACGTCTACATGCCTAAATGCATTGAGTTGCTGCCATGTGATTTGCTGATTAGATAGTTGCGTTAACGAGCAGTTGAACAGGTGTACCTATAAGGTGGCCATATAGGCTATAATATATTTATCAGCTTCTATGAAAACGTACAAATAATCACACTTTTCTTTACAGACGTTATAATGAGATCATACTGTCATGTGGGTAATTAGGTGATCACTCACTCTTCAGGCTCAGGTGCGACTTCCATAGTTCCATCATATCTTCGATACGCCACCATTCGCTTGCCAGAACCAGTCACAAAGTGACTCACCGAACACACACCCTGTGGATTTATTTTTTCGCTTTTGAAGAAAAAAGAATTGCATTCAGATGGGTAATTTCAAATTAAATTACCTTTACATGTTATCTTTGAAATTAAACCAAAATCCACAACTGGAAGCCTAGAGGTAGATCCAAATAAGTAGATTGGGGCAGAGCAAAGGATAGTGTCTATTTTTATGCATGGTAGCATGTGAACTTGAACTAAGCTTGAACTTTATAAAGTTTGCCTTTAAATGAAGAGGAACAGGTGTGAAGCAGTTGTGTCAGCCAGAAGCTGCAGTAGGCATCTGTAAGTGATCTTGTTACTCTCCCCATGAGCTGCATCATCAAAACATGACTAGACATTTCATGAAGCAACATATTAATGGGTAGATTTTTATCCTATGTCTCTCTTTTATACATTTAAATGTAGCCTAGTTGTTAAATTCCTGTATTGTATAAATCACATACTGAAATATCTCATCTACACTATATTGCCAAAAGAATTGGGACAATTCATCCAAATCATTGAATTCAGATGTTCTAATCACTTTGATTGCCACAATGGCCCCCTCCTGTTCTAACATGACTGCGCATCAGTGCACAAAGCAAGGTCCATAAAGACATGGATGAGTGAGTTTGGTGTGGAGGAACTTGACTGGCCTGCACAGAGTCCTGACCTCAACCCGATAGAACACCTTTGGGATGAATTAGAGCGGAGACTGCGAGCCAGGCCTTCTCGTCCAACATCAGGGCCTAACCTCACAAATGCGCTTCTAGAAGAATGGTCAAAAATTCCCATAAACACACTCCTAAACCTTGTGGAAAGCCTTCCCAGAAGAGTTGAAGCTGTTATAGCTGCAAAGGGTGGGCCAACTCCGTATTAAACCCTACGGATCAGGGCTGGGATGTCACTAAAGTTCATGTGCATGTAAAGGCAGACGTCCCAAAACTTTTGGCAATAGTGTAATATATCTATCTGATATCTAATATCTAAAGAATTTTAGCTTGATGCCAATTTGAAAATATAAGCTACTCATTAAAGGTCAGTGTGAGTAAGGTGTTCTAAGCACTGGTTATTTTTATACTGGCAGTGAGAGTTGATTAATGATGGTACCTCATTTCAACTTGAATGAAGCACATCACACTGTACCTGGGTGGATTGGCAGGACACACAGATGGTTCTAGTTGCTGCTGGGGACGACGATATGATGGTAGAGCTTGGCATGATGATGCTGGCATGTTCAGAGCAGCAGGGTTATTAGAGTTTTCTGACCCCGGCCCAGAGCTCTGGGCATCAGAAAGGCTCCGCTCGATTGCCAGCTGCATGAGCTCATTATCAGACAGGTTGCTATAGAGACTGTAGTCAGCAAATTCCAGGTAGGTTCCTGTGGTACCTGGCATAGACACATGGGCAACTGCCATGATGGACCCTAAGACAAGCAAAACATTCATTATGTAATGAAACTGGACTAACATGTATTATTGCATATTTCATTTGCTTGATCTGTCAGATTTTAGAGGGTTTTTTTTTAGGCGCAAGCTGATAGGTTCTAAAGGCCCCGATATACTTCAAGCGAAATCGAAGATGCTGTGGAGTCATTTCAAACAAAATCAGGCCAAAACGAACTTCGTGTGGTGTTCGTTTTGGGAGTTCAAAACATCTTGCCAAAAATGTTTTGAAAAGTTTGCTACGGCTGGTAAACGCTTTGTACTACCATTGGTCCGTGGCGATTACGTAATAGGTATGTGTGCGCTGAGGCTCCGCCTTCTTTCACGTGTCTTTTCCATCTTTTCCAGTTCATTTCTCCTCACTAGTCAGTTAAGATTAGACGTGACCCATGATTGAAAACATGAACACACTGGAGAGCTGCTTTATAGTAGAAAATTAAGTTGTTCTTCTGTTTTCTCAATTTTGTTTGAGATTGTGTTTATTTTGTTATTGTGAGGAAAGCTTGCAGCATATATTTACATATTCATATAACTGTCGCTCTGAGCAGTGTGGGCGGCGTCAGATGTTCGATAACAGTATATTGCTGCTCATGTATTTCGAACTTCGTTTTACCCCTAAATGAAGAACGAAAAATAACTTTGCCTTGAGTATATCGGGGCCTTCATTCTCTCTAGGGCACAGCTGATTGGTTCTTGCTGTATCAGGCACAGCTGATTGGTTCTTCCTGTGTCAGTAGCCAATGAGCTCGCTGCTCAACCTTCAAATACTTGGTTAACATTTGCTGTAGCAGTGCAGCGCACTTTCAAAATTGTTGGAAACTTCCATCGTCAACATTATAGTAGGCTAAAGGTAAGTAGATCATCCACCCACATAGCAAACAGTCTTGGCTCGAATGCGGCCTCATGCTGGCACTGCTCCTGTTGGCAGCGGCATGTGTCCTGTCAGCCAAAGCTGGTCAAAGTATGGCAATGACGGCACAGAATGGATAACAACAAACAACATGAGGGCCGATTGTTGGTGGGAGGCAACAAAGTAGCCCAATGGCCAGTCAAAAGTAGCCCAAAAATAGTCTCAGCCTCAGACATCACGCCCACGGACCGTTGGCTGAACGTCTGATGCATATGGCACACTTTTCTGGAATCACTTTAGGAGTTTCGAAGTTGCGATCTGATTGGTTGAATTCTACAGGATGTCCGGGAGACGTGTGTGTCGCGTTCTTTATCGTTCCGCCTGGAAACAAATGCCGTGACGTCAAAACCCCTCGTGGGAAAAGAAAGCCGTTGTATTTACAACTGTGACAATGAGCGCTTACCAGGCTCAACTAAACGCTGGATTTTCAAAAGTTTGTAAAGTTCTCGGCTCCATTGTTGCAGTAAACTTGTATAACGTTCTTGAATGAATAATTTATTAGATGCATGCTGGTCTGTTATTGTAGGGACATCAACATTATATTGTCACACCCCTAAACATGACGCGGAACAAAACGAACTGATTGGTTGCGTTACATGTCAGTCAAACGTCCTCTTGGGTGGTCCTTGGCCAAGAAAAGCTGCGATAGATTCCAGACCTTCCGCCGTCAGTCTGAAGGTCTAGCTACGCGAGACTAGCCCAAAAATAGCCCAATGCAAATATTATTTTTTTCTCCATTGGGCGGCCAAATTCTCCATTGAATTTGTAAGTCTGGGGGGTGTTTTGGGGGTGTTGGAGTGCCGAAATTGTACCTACGTAGGTGGAAATCAACTCGCAGAATTTCTTTTAAGCAACAACTTAAAAGTAGCCTGATTCCGTGGGAAAATCGTGGACTTGGCAACACTGGTGGAAGGTGTGTGGCAGAGATCAGTCAAGTTATCATGTGGCCCAAATCAGGCTTGTGACCATAGGGCCACATTGTAAATTATTATTTTTAAAGGATTCCAAGATTATTTCTTATGAGAAAGAGACATTTTAGCAAAACATACTGAGAATAATTCATAATTAAATGCATAATTGAAGAATAATTAATTGCAGTTTAAGGCAGATGACTTAAGGGGTGTAACAATAACAATATATCGCAATACAAAAATGCAACAATACGTATCGTGGATAGTGACAATATGTATCGTGGATAGTTCCCCCAAAATAAAAATTACTGTGTGAGATTTTTTTTTTTTCAGTTTTAGTGTCAATACTACATTAAACTACTATACATAATGTTGATTATAATGTATAATAATGCAATGGGGGACTATTTGTGGGTCCTGATAATGCCAAATGTCTTAATGTCAGTGACAGAGTGCAAGCATATTCGTCTAAAATAATTCTGTATTTTCAGCTTCAGAATCATGAATATTTTTATTCTGGTGTCACCATTGTCCTTGGGTTACAAGCACCAAGTCCAAACCTATTCATTTAAACCCACAATGTAATATCAAAGTTAGCATTTTAATCAACAGTACATTTTTTGTTAACCTTTTATCATATGTCTTGGAGTATCGCAATAATATCGTATCGTGAGTTAAGTATCGTGATATGTATCGAATCGTGACATGAGGGTATCGTTACACCCCTTAATTTGAAATTATATAATTTCATTCAAATAACTCTGTGTAACTGTCACCATGTACACTCACTCATTCCCTACAAATTCTTGTTAGCATTTTCCTCTGTTTGTCATGTTCCTGTTTTTTTATATCTGCCTGTGTCCTGGTTTTCCCGTTCCTGTCTCACCCTCTGGATTTGTTTGTTTGATTGGACTGATTTAGGACTGCTCTGACCTCTTGCCTGTTTTCGATTGTGGATTACCCTTTCAATAAAAGTGAATTTGGATTCTCAACCTTCTTGTCTTGGAGCAGTTCATGACACTCAGACTACACTTTAAAATCTTAAAATGAATACTTAACTATTTATGTAATAATTTAACCATTAAATGTTATACAATATTTATTTTGTGGGACATATAAGGAATTTTATGAATATGCTGTGGGCCAAAAATGACCATAAAATACACTGCAAAATGTTATTTGTGCGCTGTAATCCAAATCTTCGGAACCAATGTGATTGCTTTGTGTGAGAAACGGCCCCAAATTTATTCAACTATCTTTGTCTTCATCTTCATCTTCAGTAGCGATAACAGTCAAATCCAGCACTCATTAAAAATAAAACATTTGCTGCCTCAGGGAGCGTTTTGACAAATTAAATGCGTGCCTTCACGGGCAGTGTCTGAAATCGCCTCTCATATATCGTCTGAAATATACTCTCATTCCCTATTCCCTACATTAGTCCACTTACATAGTTCACTTGAGGGAGTGAATGAAAACGAGTAAGCGGTCTATTCAGCGTAGTGAAGCCTCTCCTTCTGTCATAAGTCACCTCAGTTTGGACTTTCCCTGCACCTCAATGTCCATATTATCCATCCTAAACAGTATGTGAGTCCCAAAGCATAGTGTGTTGAAAAGAGTATGCCATAAGTCCCCAGATGGTCTACTATTTTCTGTGGAAGTGTGGATCCGTGCACACACTAAAGGCTAATATTGCCCACAACCCATAGCGCTTTGGAGGAGGAGCTACAAACACAAGTGAAAAGTGTTAAAAAACTACACAACATGGCGGATATGCGTGACGGATGGTGAGAGATTTAGATAAAGGTTTGAGTGACTAATCAGTTTAACCTGATAGAAAAATATTTATTTATTGTTATCCGTGTTACATTTCATCTGCAATAACAATGTGGACTTTTATACAGATCCGTTTGGCCATTAACTTTTAAATGCATAATTCTGTATTAACATGAGGAGAGTTCTCTGCATGAAAGACCCGCGACTGCGGTTCAGGTGTGCGTGTTTAATCATTATTGTTTTCAGTTGTATAGGTTCTTGTGTGTTCACCTTTGGATTTAACTGTGGATGTTATTAAACACATTTTTGAACTTGAACCTTCTTCTTCGTATGCTTACTACTACACAACCGTGACAGAAGACACGACCTAGAAGTGATTTACGTGGTGATATCTGTTTAAATAATATTTTCCTCTCATCTCGTGTTTTTGTGGGTTTTTTTTTTTGTTTTTTTTCCCTCTCTTTGTGGATTCTCCCTCATTTCAGTGCCTTGAGCAGGGAGATCCCTCCCTCAAGGCACATATGGAAGACTTCCTGGACCTTGCTCATCAGTTGAAATTCCCAGACAACTGCCCTTGTTCTTTTCTTGGGACTCAACATTGCGACAAAGGCTCAGTTGTCCAGGGAGGGTCCTCGAGGGAGCTTCATTGAGTATGTGGAGTTGGTGCTGGTATCCTGTGGATTATCACCGACTGTCGGACCAGCTGACGGCGACGCCAGCCCCATTCCAAATCCAGTGCCCAGCCAGATACCATCCCACTGCGAGGAGCAGCAGCACGAGCCAACCACAGACAACGAGTCCGAGTCCCCATCCGCCGTGATGTGTGAGCCAGTGCCAACGGGAGCGACCGAGCAGAACATCACTTTGGAGCAAGAGCTGCGTGTCTGACCAGGTCAGGTGTGTGAGCCGACTGCACCATCCATTGCCGTGGGAGTCCTTGTGGAATACGAGTCTATGGAAGTGAGCGCCCCCAACCCTCCCGCCACTGAGAGTGAGCATCTACTGGACTTAATGAACATTTGTTTTGTGTTTAAAAAAAAGAGGATTCCCTACCTCCTTTGATTCCGCCTGAATCCGAAACATCTTCTTCAGACCTGTTGGCCCCTCTTCTCAGCCATTTCTGCAACCCAGTCATCGTTTTCTCCCATCAGCCCCTCAGTACCACTTCAGCCTCCTCTCAGTGGTGTGGCTCCGCCCTTCCTCAGGCTCCACCTCTGCCCTCCAGATCCCTACTTGCATCTCGGGGGGTAATCGCTCCGTCACTGGCGCCAAGGTCTTCGTCTGTGCGGTGGGCTTCTTCTCCAATGTCACCATCACCTCCACTCGTCCCTAAGGTGGCGTCAGAACTCTCTCCACCATGGCTCCTCCCTCCAGCGACACCGCCATGGATCACAGTTTTGGCTGTGGCCTGGCTCGCATCCCATCTGTCCCTGCTCAAAGCCATTCCTTGAAT